CAGGATATTGATAATTTTACTTAATAATTTTCCTTTTTTTAAATATCAGCTCTGAAATTATTTACATAACTACAGCAAAAAGAACAGTAAGTTTGGGAATTAAATTTACTATTCATGGCCATATACCTCAGCTGGTGGTGGCAGAAATTTGAGGTGTGCTATCGAGTAGAATAAAGTCACACCTCTCCAACTGTAATGCACGCAAATCACCTAGAGGAAGATCTTGAAATGCAGGCTCTGACTCAGAGGGCTGGAATAGGACCTGAACATGCATTTCTAACAAACTCCCAGGTGACACAGGGCTTCTACTCAGGGGTCAGTGGAACAAGGCAAGGATGCCAGGCATGGGCATCAAAAGGCTTGTTTGCCTTGGGGAATGAGAGCTTCCAAAAATGCAGGTCTATTGTGATAGCTCCTGTTCCACTGGGTTATAATTCTCATTAGGTAAGTAAGGAAGTTGAGCACAGTGAAGCTGAAGGACTTACCCAAGAGGGCAAGTGAGCAACAGACAAGCAGGAATCCAGATGCAGATGCATTTGTTTCCAAAGCCCATGCTAGCTCCTCTGAAGGCCTAGGGAGGCTGAAGCAGAGAGCACAGGAGCCTGTGGAAGGGCTGTGGGAGGCCATGGGGATTCTGTACAACTTGCTCAGTTGGAGCAACAAAGGTAAAAGAATTTTCCAAGGCAAGGTCTGTGACATTCTGACCTTCTTACAAATCATTAAAAGGGTCTGCTAAAGGTAGGACACTTTACATTCTCTTCCTGAAACTTCCATGTTGTCCCTAGGACTCGAGTTTCCAGAATTCTTATTCCATTTTATTTATTTTTATCACCACCAATGTCACTAACATCTGGGTGTTCTTCAGGTGAGTTGAAACTGAAAAGTGAACTTATTGGGTCTCTGCTGCCTGGAAAAATGATCAGAAACAAGTAAACAACTGGGTAAAGTAGGTATGTTAGTGCCTTAATCTTTCCCTAAGAGAAAGGTTGCTCCAGAAATAGAAAGTATTGTTTTTTGTTTTTTAAATCAGGTTGCTCATTTGAATTCATATTCACTGCTTCATTATGTTGAAAATTGCACATGATTTCTTTGGATCTTTGGCTCAATAATCACTTTGATGTTTTATTTATTGATGCAAAAAAGCACTTGCCTTTCAAGTTTGTTATCTCTCATTTCAATTGAATTTTTCAAAGTATTAAGAAACTAGCTCCATAGGATTGTCTACCCAGTTTGAAATTGGCACAAGATTCTGAAGTGTTATTGGTGCCCCTGGGTGTTTCCTGCCATTTAGTTTCAAGCTAATAAGGAAATGCAGAAGTTGGCTAGAATTTGCTATGAATACTGCAGATAGACATTTGTGCTGGAACACATTCAAAGAAGGTTCTTTAGAGAATGTATTTTATCGTACCAGGGCTTTGTTTTCTTGGCTATAGAAATGATTTGTATTTGGAAATCAGAGCTATTTCTCATCTTTGACCAACTCTTTTGTGAAGTCTGAACTTCCATGTTTATGCAATCCATCTGTGACATCATACATTTTGTTTCCATGGCAAAAAAGTAGTAAAGGGAGAGAGCATAAAATACAATATTTTGAGAAATATCTATTCCAGTCCTTTGTGTATTTTAACAACTGAATTATTTGCTTTTTGAAAATTGACTTCTAGGACTTGCTTTTATATTTTGAACATTAACTTCTTTTTAGATACTTGATTTGCAGAATTTTCCCCTTTTCATAGGTGCTTTTTCACCAACTGATGGTTTTCTTTGCTATGTATAAAGCTGATAGTTTCCTTTGCTATGTATAAGCTTATTTAATTTGATGTAGCCTTACTTGTTTATTTTTGCTTTGTTGCCTGTGCTTTTGGAGTCTGATCCAAAAACTCATTGCCAAGATCAAAGTTACTAAAGCTTTCCCCTGACATTCTTCTTAGGAGTTTTACAGTTTCAGGTCTTATGTTTAAGCTTTTAATCTATTTTGACTTGATCTTTGTAATAGTGGAAGAGTCCAATTTCATTATTTTGTGTATGGATAGCCACTTTTCCCAACACCATCTTTTGAAGATACCATCTTTGTGTATTCTTGGCATCTGTGTCAAAGACCAGTTGACTATAAAGTAGGGGATTATTCCTGTACTCTTTCTTCTGTTCCATTATCTGTGGGTATGTCTTCATGCCAGTACCACACTGTCTTAATTACTGTGACTTTGCAATATATTTTGAAATCAGGAAAATATGATGCCTCCAGCTTTGTTCTTCTTTTCCCAGATAACTTTGGCTATTCAGGGTGCTTTGTGATTCCATATAAATTTTAGGATTTCTGTTTCATATTTATGAAAAAAATGCCATTGAAATGTTAATAGAAATTGCATTGACTCTGTAGATCTCTTTGGGTAGTATGGACAATTTGACAATATTAATTCTTCTAATATTGCATGAGTTGGCATTGAACTTTTCATGTTGAAAATAAGAGTTCCAATTAGTTCAAAGTAATAGCGACTACTTATTTATGGGAAATTGATAGAAAATGGCAAATATAGAAAATAGCATGGGGTAAAAATAAAAAATACATGATATGAATTAAATTATCAGCTATATTCCTCCCCCAAATGAAGAGTGAAATCTGTATAATATGGAAAATATTTTTCATTTAACAAGCTTTCACAGAATCTCAGCAGCTTGGCTTCTTGTTTATACCTTCCTTTCTCCTTTGTTCATGCTCTTGTCCAGCAGCTAACCACAGAAACAGAGTCTGTGTGTGAAGGAAGACCATGCTTGTGAGCATCCAGTCAGTGAGAAGACTTTACTGTTTGTAAAAGGAAATACCTCCTCAGAAAGAGAGCCACCAAAGATGATCGGATGTCCTAGAAGCATTAAGGCATTATCTGAAAAGTTAATTCATAATCACATTTATCTGTTCATTTTATTTAGATTGATGTGGTACAGTGAGAGACTCAAAAACTGATCAAGAGGGGAAAATGAAGATTATTCATTAAAACATTACCAAAAATGTGGGAAAAGCAACAAGAGTCACCCGTCAGCCTGAAGGTGACGGACAGTATGGTTACTGTAACCCAGACAGGGCAACTGCTTGACAGGAGCTGTGGCTTCACCCAGACAGGGCAACTGCTTGACAGGAGCTGTGGCTTCTTGCAGTCAACCGATGGTGACCCAGCAGCTGAAGGCAAGAAGATAAATACCCCTCCTCATCTCCTCCTGCCTCTGCGCCAAGAGTACCTACAATTTCCCAGTTAGCTGACAGGGCAGAAAGGCCAGGGAGACCACGGCTGCAGTCTGTGTGGGGAAGCAGTGGACTGACCAACTGGGCTGACCAACGGAAGATAGGCCTGGAGTGCTTCTCTGGATTTCCCTCTTTGCCTGTTCAGCAGAGTGTGGCTCCACCTTCTGAGCACTTCATTCTCAAGATGGAAACAAACCTATATTGAAATGACAAGATCATGATCTGGCTGACACCACCCCATACATGGATGCCAGGGCTAAACTTTTGACTTGGGTATAAAACTTGGGAGAAACTATGGAGAGCCTGGTGCCTTATGGACTGGGCAGTGGGTGAGTTCATTAACCACATGCAAAGTGGCTTTACCTGGATGATGTGATAAGCCAGGGTCAAGGTAGTAGTGTATGATAACCTCAACTCAATGACATATACTGCTAGCGTGCAAGTGTAGAGACACTAGTACACACACTTCCATCCAGAGGATAACTCACTGGCACACATGAAGTCATCTACACAGTTTCACTGAGCACATGACATCTCTCTGCAGCTTGACCCAAGGTGCTCAAATTATTGTCAAGTAAGCTTGGGATATCAAGGTGTGCGCTGGGCAGGAACCAGCCAGACAACACCTTTAATCACTGGTTTACGGACTGAGAACCAGGAATGATCTGGAAGAAACACTTGTATTAAATGAGCAACTGAGGATCACTAATGCCTGAGAATATTTGGAATTTGAACTTGCAGCCTGTTGCAAAGAGGGCACTTGTTCTCCCCACATGATTCCCAAAGCCTTCTGGAGGAAAGAGATTCTCCTGGCCTTCCTAAATATGGGTGGGGAGAGTAGTATTAGGGTGGGGGGTTTCTTCTATGTAACTGAAAACCAAAGATATACATCTTGCTAATGTCTGCTTTCCTGAAGTCGGGAACTAGATGTAAGCTTTATAAGTCTTGCTGTCTCTCTCTGTTCTGAAGGGTGGTTGATAAAGGCCTTCAAGGAGTTAAACTGAGCACACTGTAAACCATAACTGGAGTTTTCTGTAAGAATTCTAAACTGTAAAGTACCACACTAGATTCTTGGGAAAATTAAAGAAGATAATGCACATTTAGAACCAAGTAGGGTGCTACTTATTTAGCATGGTAAGGTGGAAAGTCAGGCTGAAATTCTAGGGATTAAAAGGTAAATAATAGCACTTGGGTTACCTAATCCTAAACCTGAAGCAGCTTCCCTCCTATCATCTATAAAGTGAAATGAGTAATACTTTCTTGGTTTTCATTAGAGTAAGCAAAAGCTTCCAAAGAATTTAATGCTCCATTAACTAGCCTTATTTTAGTAAACATTTTTACAAGTAGTCAGATTTCTTGGGCAATGCAATCTGGAACATGTACTGGGGAAGGAGACTTGATCTGTGCATTGACAAAATACATGCATAATTGTGAAACAAAAAGATCTTCAAGTTGATATGGTGCTAAAAATGTACTGAAAATAGGTAAAGGTTTAAACTGGAGAGTAGATACCGGTTGCTTCTTTCTACATAAATGGCAGAGAACTCTATAAAGTACTGTTTTGCTTTTTTAGCTGACCATGGACTTGCAGTGCATAGCAGGGGAGGAGGAAGGGCCAGAATAGGGAAGGGAAGAGCACAAGGGATTGTGGTGATAGGTCAGGTGGTGGGAGAACTACGGGGACTACACCTGAGGGGAGAAATCAAATATTATACAAAAATGAACAACAATGTAAGAAAATACATTATTAAAAAATATAATTGTTTTTTAATAGATTTTAAGTTCTGGTCTTGTGCGCTCCATTAGGAAAAAAAAAAAATCATCTCAAAAGCTTAACATGTGCAAAGGCTTTTTAAGGCAAGTCAGCCCTGTTTTACGAAGGTCCCTTTATTTCCAGTTATATTAAGGCAGCTGTAGTGGAGGAATAAACACTATGTTCTCATTACAATTCACAGGATTCATTCATTCATTCCATAGAATTCTGGTCTACCTTACTTTACCCTGCCAAGCTGCTTGCTTCTAATACAATCCACATTTATTTTTAATGCTGTACTTACAAGCTATAAGGGAGCATCAATCTATAGATTGTTTACTTTGTATCAGAAACACTCATTTGAAGAATCAGTGTTTCAGACATATAAATCTCCTGCTGGTGAGAAAAGAATGCATATGTTTCTCCCCTCAACTCTAGAAATTTGTGGAAGGCATTGCAGCTACCTTTGTTTTTTGATGCAAATGTATGCTTAGGAAAATTTCTCAAAAGAGCCAGAAGAGTCTATGTGGGGCAGAGGACTCTGTGTTGTAGCAGACACCCTCTCCTTCCAGCCCATTCAGTACTCCCTTCTCAAGAACCTACCTCTGGCTGTCCAGCATTTCCCTCGAGGACAGTGTCCTGAGATGCCTAATTACATGCTATGTATCTGCTGGTCTTATCTTCCACTGCCATGTACCTCCTATGTCTTATAGGGCTCGGATGTACCTTTTAAAATAAAACACCACAATGTCTGTGAGGACTATTATGAACATCATCTTTGTTTTCAAGAATATGTTTAAAGAGTTGGCAGAATAGAGACAGACTCTTTTATTATCATTTAAGCTTTCCTTCAACCAGGAACTCCAAGAGTCTGACATTGAAGTCATATCATAAATTGTGTGGGGTGAGGCTGAGCTACCCTTTAGAGGCCACAGCCCTCTGATACTGCAGTGGGCTTAAGGATGCACATCAGCTGGATGCCACAGATAGTGAAGATGAGGTGCTGCCCCCCTGCAGCCCATGGTTTGAACAAACTACCTTCTCCTGTACTGGGTAGACTGAGATTCCAAGGAGCTCCTTTGTGAGCCATCGGGATTTGTAGGTTTTAGGGTGCGTGAAGCCTAGATTATATCCAGATTTTATTTTTGCTCAAGAATAGCTTGTAGTTCCAGGAGGCCACCAAGGATTCTCAGAGCCACCAATTTTGTGCTCACTACTTTCATCTAGTATTTACCAGAACTCAGGGTTTACTTGCCCGCACCTGGGTGCCTATTATGGACTGATCTAATTATAAAATACTCTAATCAGTCAAGCTTTCCTCAGAAATGTCATGGGCTTAAGTTAAACTTCTGATTCTAAAACCTGAATGGATTTTAAAAGCAGATCAACTGGTCCCAGGTTTCTTCAGGGTAATGGGTTATTTATGTAAAATGAAGATTTTCAAGGGCTTATTCAGGCAGTTTACTTTTAGAACCCCTTACTCATGTTAACATGACATAACCAAGATAAGATACAAAATACATGAAACAGTAAGCAAGAGGCATAAATCTAAAAATGTCAGAAATTTGTGAATTAATTATAATGGTCACTCTAATTTACAGTGTGTCCAAAAACGATGTGAATTTCATATCATCCTTATATATATATTTAATAAAACATTGTGTACATGTCAATAACTATATACTTGACTGTATGTATGTACATGTCATTTTATTAGGTATGACCAGCTAGGTCTAAGTGAAAGCTTTGAATTAAGTGGCTATTAACTTATCATTTTTACAGTAAATCACTGAGGTATCCCTTAGCAATGAACATAGTTTCTCATATAATTTTATTAGAGCCTTTAAAGACAAAATTAGTATTAATTAAATAGATCCACAGGTAAAATGTATTTTGTGGGAGTATTTTTGACATCTTTGTTTATTTAACTTGGCAGACAGACATTAAGTTAGTATTTGCATTTGAATAAACCCCCTCAATATGCACCACAACTTAAAATATAATCTAAAGATAAAGCACTTTGGTACTCCATGCCGTCCTTATTATAACTTAACACCACACTGAATGCTACAGCATTTTATAAAGTTAATTCTTAAATACAAGTATGACTCTTGACCTTGATCCTAGTTTCCATGTTTGCTTTTCAGGACATCCAGGCTTTCGGTCACCACTCCTTCCCTCCAGCAGTCTCCACCGGCACTAGCACTCAGTGTTCAGAGAGCACCATCTCCAATAATCCAAAGCAAGGGCAGACATGCCTCAAGCACCCTCCCAATGCCGGTGAGGAAGAAAGTCACGGGCTCTGTCCAAGGGGACCCTGAGACACTGCGTGACAGAGCCAAGGCAACAGCAGGACAGAGACCGAGTCAAACTGGCATGTCCGGCGACCAGGGGCTTTCACAGGAAGCCTGAGTGTTACACAAGTGCAGGGCCTAACGCAGCACCCAACTTGGCTACCCTGACTGCTCTGTCTGCACAGCCAGAGCACCCAAGCGTGGTGCGCGTAGTCATCAGTGAAGGTAGCAGAGATGCCAGGGTAAAGCTCCCTCTGCCCAGCCCTAATCAGACACGCATGGGCCAGGGCAAGGGTCGCATGCAGAGGAAACTTCAAAGTGAAGGGCATTGGCACTTAACTCACGGTCCCAAGCCAGGGCACCGCTGCTTGCAAGCCGGGCTACTTTTGGCATCTGCTTGACCGTTCTTATCTACCACCACCCAGAACCAGCACTAACAAATGTCTCTTTTCCCAACAAGTTAAAACAACAATAGTTTAAATTACTTTGAAATTTTAATTACAGAAACATTTCTACTCAACATTTGAAGTTTGGATTCTCTCCTTTTTCTGCATGAAGGCTGTCACGGTGGCTACACTAAGCTTTGTGTCTTTTCCTATGTACATATCTACACCCATGTCTCTTCTTTATTAACAAAAGGTATCTTGTGTGATCCCAAACCAACTCTGTACTAGGTTCTGGATTGCAAATCTCAGAGTAAAACAGTTTCACAAAAGGGTAGGAAGCAACTGCGGTAAAGTGGCAGGAAGAGCTGCAGCTTGATAACTGTTTCTTCTAAGTTCAACTCAGAAAGACAGTAACTCAGAGGAAGTGAAGAAGAAGACCTAGTTTTCACCCCTGCTCCCTATACCCAAACACACTAGCCCAAAACCCTCTGGTCTTAAAGTGCAAGGACTACTGTAAAGGCCCCTAGGCCAGGGATCCCACTGGGTGTTGTTCAGAGTAGAGACTTCAAACAGTGCTCTCATGACTCAGGCTGGGGTGGGGGTGGGTGGGAAGGCTGAAGAAAATAGGGCCATTCCAGACATTCAAGTGCATCATAATATCCTTTCTTTTGTTAAAAACACAGAGCTGTCAAATTGTAAGGAATCCTGACTTGGAAAAATAAAACTTTTTAAAAACTTCTATCTGAAGATGTTCCAGTGCAGCAGAGTCAAAAGGCCGGTGAGCAAGGTGAGGAGCAGAGGGTGAGCACTCCCCACCGAGGCCCTGCTCCCATACTGGGAGCCCCTGTGGTCTTCGGGGAAGTCCTCGGCTCTGGGCACGGAAGACGCACACTGGACCAAGGGCATCTGGTAGGATGTAGCTCTCTTCTCGGGCCTGTCTGGACTGGACCCGTCACTGGGCCTCTGGCCATTGAAGAGCAGGTAGCGGCCGCGGGTGTCCTGCTCCATTTTGAAGATCTCATACTCTGTGTGAGGTAGTTTGATTCCCAGCGCCACGCAGCCATTGGTGTGTGTCACGTCCTGCTGGACACCCACCTGCCAGGAGCCCTCGGCCCCACACTCATTCCCGTTGAAGACATTAAGCAACGAGGCCGTGGCAGCATCCATGGGGGTCACCTTCATGTGGTTCACTGTGAGGGAGAGAGAGTGGCTTTGTGACTTAGAGGGAGTTTGCAGGCAGCACAGAAAGCCCACAGAGAAAACACAGGTAGCACCTATCTCCGCACACTTCCCCACCACCCCAAAACACCCAACGGCCACAGTCTTCTTAAGCATGCTCACGGAGAAAGAGTCCCTCGTGTTCATTCAAATGGGGGTCAGACCAGGTGTACTGCAGGTGTGAGCGAAAGAAAGTCTACATTTAGCTCATAAACACTGAGCTGTCATGTCTGTTACACACAGACAAACACAAAAGTGTCTCCAAGGAGTTGTCTTTGGTAACACTGACTCTTTGGGACTGACAAAATATTCACCAAAAACGGGCATTCTATTTTTATAAAAAGGCTGTAAGGTTTGATTTTTTTTATAATTGTTAAGGTGTCTTAGACTAGTTAACATTTTTGCAAATTAATACTGGTCTATGAGTCAGATATCTAAAACAAATTAGGCTGCAAGCAAAAAAATGTGAGTAAATATAGAAAATAAGATCCCAGCACTTGCACAGTGAAGCTATTGAAGTCCCTCTGCAGGCACTACATTCTGTGTCTACCACAGGGCTTGGGGTAGAGTTAGATAAAGATGGCTATTTTCTAGGCCACCTTCTTCCTGGAGTGAATCTTCCTAAGAAAAGGGCCAGATTAGCTGGGACTTAGCTGCGTTGCAGAAATAGTTTATACTATATAGACTGAACCACAAAATGCTATCCCAGGAAGGGTCCCAGCCAGCGTCTAGGATACCCCACTTTATTTGGCCATGACAGGGCAACCACAAGACCTCCCTGGCTGACCACAGCCCAAAGAACCTCATCCCTCACCACTCTCATGCAGGTCATTATTAGGTAGCCTGAACTTCCATCGTCGAGCACAAGACAACTTTCCAAGAACATGACAAACTCTAGAAATGACAACTCCGAGGTGTAACTAATACCTGCTGTGTTCCCCGCTGAGAAAAGCACACTCTAGTCTCCAAGTGTGAGGGCACCTTAGGGGCAGCTCAGGACCAGCCATTATTAAAACATGCAGACTTGAGATTCCCTTCCCGGGAACACTCTCCGTGGCCACACCCACGGGTGAGCAGGAGGACTCCTGGTCACTGGTATCGGGCTGAGCCATCCATCCCCTGGCCCCACCCACAGTGAGAAACTCAAAGGACAGCCTTGAGGCAGAGGGTTCTCCAGAATCTTTCCCCCACACCTCAGGCAGAAAGAAGGCCCGAGGCTCTGCTTCATCAAAAAAACCTCACATCACTGCTCCCTGCCCCGCCCGTTGGCTGTGACCCGGAGATCTGAGGCCAGAGTCCTACCTTTGAAGACAAACTCCGTTCCTCCCATGACTCTGGACGAGTGCACGCCCCGGCTGTAGCGGCCTTTGGCGTAGATGGTAAAGGTGGGGTGCTTGCAGATGGGGTCAGAATAGTGGTAGTAGTGCCCCTCCCAGGTGTTGTTGTTGTCATGGAAGATGAAGTGGCGTGTGAGAAAGAGAACTTCGGGCCGCACCTCACAGCGCTGGCTCACCCACTCGCCGTGCAGCCCAACAGTCAGGTCGGCCTTGGGGGGCAGCAGGGGCGGGCGGTGCTCGTCTGAGCGGTGGATGATGCGGCAGGCTATGCAGGCGTGGTCGTGGTTCTGAAGCCAAGAAACAAACACACTGAGACTGTTGTCATTAAGGGAGAGACGTGTCCATGTGTTTCCCTCTAGTGGCTCACCCCGAGGCCTGGGCAAGCCCTACCCCCCACACTGGCATGGACATTCAGGGTATTGCTGAGGCACCTGGGCACACAGAAGAGGGGCAAGCAGTGTGCGTGTGCTTGCGTGAGTGCTCACATGTGCTTGGCTGACTTTAGAGCCTGCCTAATGTCCTGCAATGATATGGAATCTCTTTAGAATTCTTTACACTTTCACTCCTAGGTATCTCCCAAAGAACACAAAAACGCGAAGTTGAAAGGAAACCTGCACTCTATGTTTACAGAAGCACTATTTCCAATGGTCAAGATACAGAAACAACCTAAGCACCCAAAACAGATGTGGTATATACACACAGAGTGGACTACTCAACAATCAAAAAAGATAACTTGTTCCATTTATGACATAGAAATGAGCCAAAGAGAAAGAGAAATACTGGATAGTTTCACTTATATGTGGAATCCAGAGAAACCAAGCAAAGGATTAGACACAGATGAACTTTAAGACAGATCCATGAAAGCCAACCATAGATCTGAGGCTTTCAGGAGGGGAGGGGAGCAGACGGGGTCTGGGAGAACACAGTGGACTATGGTGGAAGACTAAGGGTGGGAAAAGTATGGCGACCAGACCTCAGGGGAGAAACCCTATATTGTGAAAAGATAAACAAGGACGTAAGATAATGATACTTGTTAATAAAAATAATAAATAAAAATAGAGAAAAAGATCCCATTCCATTTTGAGACCACAAGTGCTGGACACTAGATTTCAAAATGAAAGGTCACCTCAAGCTGTAAAAAGTTCTATAAATAGACCTCACTCTCATTAGGATGGTTACTATAAAAGGAAAAAAAAAACCCAAAATCCAGAAAATAACAGTGTTGGGGAGGATGTGGAGATATTGGAGCCTTTGTGCTGCTGCTGGTGGGAATGTGAAACTGTGCAGCTGCTGTGGAAAAGTTAACACATGACCAGGGATTCTACTTCTGGTTCATGCCCAAAAGAATTGAAATCGGTCTCAAAGAGATATTCAAACAGCCATGTACACCAGCATTATTCACAATCAGCCAAAAGCACCCAGTGCCCATCAACAGATGAATGAATAAACAAAATGTGGCGTATCTACAGAATGGAATATTATTCAGCTTCCAAAAAAGAAATTCTGACATCCTACAGCATGGATGAGCCTTGCATTCATCATGCTAAGGGAGATAAGCCAGTCACGACAGGGAAATACCATGGGGTTCTGCTTACAGGAGGCACCCAGAGTGGTCAAATTCACAGAGAAGAGAGCGGAATGGAAGCTGCCAGAGGTAAGGGGTGGGGAGTTAGTGCTGAGTGGGTGCGGAGCTTTGGTTAGGGAAGATGAACAGTTCCAGGCACTGAGGGTGCACTGAAGCCGTACAACTAGCAATGGCTGAGATGGCAAGTGTTACATGTATTTTCTCACAATTAATTTTCCATGAAATTATGAGATGAACATGCAAAAGGATGGCCTCCTAGCTGCTGTGGATGAAGGGGTGGCTAGAAAGGCAGGGGTCTGTTCAAAGGAAGGGTGGAAGGGTGCCTTAAAGAAGGCCCAAGGTCACCGAGAAGCTGGTGTGCACACCAGCCACCCATGTGTGTCTGCTGGCCTCGAGGGTTAGAAGGCTTCACGGGCTTTAATTTGCTTCTGGTTTTATAGCTTCAAGCCATTTAATTAGTGCATGATAGTGGTGGCTCTGTCTCAGGAGGCCTCTCACTCAGTCATTTCCATAATGTTAACAAATCCTGGAACCAGGGTTATGCAGGTTTTGAACTGAGCTAGCCAGGTAGCTATACAGGCGGGGTCGTGGTTCTACAGGCAGCAAAGACACTGAGCATGGGTCTTCACGGTAGAGCAATGTCCACGTGCTTCCCCTACAGAGGCTTATGTAAATGCTGTTTGGAAAAGTCAATGCTTAGAAAGCAGGAGAGTGTCCTTGACCTCAATGTCACTGTCAGCTGTCTGGCCTGTTATAGGGCCTATGAGCCAGGGGCTGCCTCCCCTGAATTGGGGGTGGGGGGCATCCATCCACTCTTCCCTCTCTCACGTGAGGTGCTGTGAGGCGGACTGTGCTCATACACACACTGTGGTCCTAGTGCATTTGGTGGCCTGTGGTTTCCTACAAAGGACTCTGGGGGCACATGGAGAAAGTGGCCTGCAGCATGTGGTCAGCACTGAGGTACTACATGCAAGCTACTGGGAGGAAACAGGGAAAAGCACCTGCACACAGGACAATGGCATTCTGGCTGGTCCCAGTGAGCAAGAATGCTAAGATGTGCAGAAGACCCTGGGGAAGAGAGAGGACTTCCTAGGAACACACTCAAGTCAGTATTAGAAGTGCGGTGCCAGAAAGTGTCCACGTTACCCCTGAGGACCCACACTGGCAGCTTGCTAACTGTTGCTCCTGCTCACCTACCAAACAGCCCAAGGAGACTGCCAGCCCGGCTTCCCCACCCCCTCCGGCTTCCACACCTGGTTTACTATAGGTAATTTGGGAATTTAGAAACATCAGTTGTGATCATTTCATTCCTGGTCCTTCTAGAAAGGTGTGAGTCTTAATCCTTGAAGAGATGTTTTTGTTTCCTCAATACCAATAAATCACTTTAGGAATTTCCCAGAAAGCTTTTAGGTAGGGTGGGAGGACAGGAGGGGGAGAACAGAAGGTCATAATTTTTGTAAGAGCTGCTTCTGGGGTAACCGCAGGGATCAGCTGCTCTTTGGTTAGTCAAGAAACAGGCTTGGTGAGGAAAGGTGGGCACAGGCGCCAGGTCCACGCTGTTCCAGAAGGCGCCATGCCCAGGGCATAGCATATGGTGTTCTATGGGTGCCTTTCTTTAAGAACAACAAGGCGTGGTCCTAAATCCCAAGATGAAAATCCAGTACTGACTGGTTTCAGGAGCATGGCGGTCCTGAGGAAAGAGCAGAGGCAGCAGAGGAAAGCATGCTAGGCAGTCCTCATTTGGGTCTGTGAGAATTCAGCAAGGGCAGGGAGCTACTGGGTGCTCAGGTATTGGTCTTGCCAAATTCCTATACTGGTTATGTCATTTAATCTTGGTAAAATACACCTCGGATAAACCATCTTAACCATCTCAGGTGTTAAGGTTCAGTGGCATTCAGGACACTCACATGGTGGAGCCATCAGCACCACCCTCTCCAAAACTCCTTCCCCTCCTGAAACTCTCCATCCATTAAACACTAGCTCCCCTCCCTCCACCCCACCCGCCAGCTACCCCCATCCTACTGTCTCTGCGAACCTGACCACTCTGGGTCCCTCACATAAGTGGAATCATACAGTACTTGTTCTTTTTTTGTGACAGGCTCATATCACTTAGCATAATGTCCTCCAGGCTCACTCATGTTGTAACATGTCAAAATTTCCTTCCTTTTAAAAGCTGTTATATATACACCTTACACCACATTTTGTTTATCCATTCATCTATTGATGAATACTTGGTTTGCTCCCACATTTTTATGGCTATAGTGAATAATATGTATTACCAGCATGGGTGGACAGATATCTTTTCAAGACCCTGCTTTCAATTCAGTTGAGTGGATACCCAGAAAAGGAATGGCCAGTAAATCACATGGCAATTCTATTTTTCACTTTTTGAAGAACGACCACAATATTTTCCGTAGTGACTACACACCGCTTGATAATTCCACCAGCAGAGTGCAAGGTTTCCAATTTCTCTACATCTTCACTGACAACTGTGATTTTCTTTTCTTTTCTTTTTTTTTTTTTTTGATAGCAGCCATTCTAATGGATGTGATGTGGTCTCCCACAGTGGTTCTGATTTGCATTTCCTTAGTGCTGAGTGATGCTGATATCTTTTCATGAGTTTGTGGGCTATTTATATATCTTCTATGGAGAAATATAGTCAAGTCATTAATGTCAGGTTTTGTTGTTGGTTAATTATTTGTTTTTAAAGAATTTACTTTTTATACATACAAGAACTGGGGTACAGGCCAGAGTTGTGGGGGGTGAGAGGATTCACCAGAGACAGAGTGGGGAACAGGAGGATTGGCTGAAATACACTGCTGAGGGGAGCAGTGGGCGAGACAGGAGAGGTCTGCTGAGCCATGTGGGTAGCTCCCTGACCTGGCATTGAACTCGTGCTGCAGTAGCTGTGGATTGCTTCATAGGTTGCGTCTAAACCCCTTGTGGCACCAGGGAGGGCCTGATTAATTACTTTTGAAAACAACTCTTTAGCTGGTTTTAAGAAACAAAAGATGCCAAAGCAAGGGTGGAAGTTCTGAACTTCCCGTGGATACTGTGAGTGAGGGAACCTATTTAGCCATGGTTGGTAAGGAGGACACTATTCTGTTTTATAGAAAGGTTTTTTCCAAATGCAATTTGTGCTTTTAATTACTACCATCCTTGGCTTGGATTAACACTAAATCACCTACAGGAACAACAATGGGAAAGTAGAAATTAATCCCTATACATTGTATTGGCTGTAAGATTTCTCCTTTCCAAGATGTTTTCCTTAAGTGGTAGTCTTTCAGTGTGTGGAGTTTTTCAACATGAACAGTGATTTGTACTATGAAATATCATTTGTTCAGGAAGTATCTCTTTTTTTTTTTGCCCAAGCTCTAATACCTGGTTCTCATCTTAGCAGATGTCCTCTCTCAGATCCTCCAACTGTATTTCACCATCACTCGCTTTCTCTAAAGCTCAGAAAGAGCTACCTAAGGTCAGGGTTATTATACAAAAAAGATCTGAAGGTTAAAGCAGAGGGACCAGAATGTGTGTTCTTGTTTCTGTTCTTTACATCAACTATAAAAAGTTTTAATTCAAAGGGGAGAGGACAGCAAAGAGCCTATAGAATTAATTTCTTAAAAGACAAAAAACAAACAAACAAAAAAAAAAACTCCAGCTCATTCTAAAAATGAAAAATCAATCTGAAACTTTGTAAGTCAG